AAAAGGAAGCTCCATTTAGACATGTGCTTCAGCCGTCTATGTGAGGCAGGGTCACTCTGCTCTTGTGAGGCATGTGTATATAAATGTTCACAGAGAGCAAAAAAAATTACAAAAAGCAGAAGATAAAATGGAGAAAAAGGCGATGAAACCAGGTAAGATTTGTTTAAAGTCACAAAATTGAAATGAATAAACAGACCAAAGTCTTTAGGCAGAATTAGAATCGCTAAAAATGGCTAACACGGTGCAGTAACAGTAACAGAACCAGGATTCATTACAGGGACAAAAACAGCATTAGGTTCCTGGGTTGAGGCCCCCAGCTGGATGTCCCCTGTGCTCATCTTTGAATAACAGCACACACTTTCAGCTTCACACCAGAAGCATGCACATGGGAACAGGGAATTCTTACTCAGTCTGGAAATAAGCAGGCTGTTGGCCAAATGCAAGTGCAAATAAATAGCATTTTACAGGACCCTCTCTTCCCCAGTTTAGCAAAGCAATCTGGTTTGGCCAAGTAATTTGGAATTGCTCTGCTAAATCCATTGCACTGCACTGCAGTAGTCTGAGAAGCTTCATATAACAAGAGCATTAAGATGCCTGAAGCTAATTAACTTTCACAGTCAACTCTCCAGGATGCATGTTAAGTTTGCAGAGAAATTTGCAGCTACTTCCCAAATCATATTTTTAGATATATGCTAACCTCCTATATTCCCCTCCCACCCATAACTGGTTCCAAACTGCTGATTGTAACATTGACCATTGGAAATTGAAACTAAAGAAATTCCTTAATGGTTTCCATGTTATTATTTTTAAATCAACGTTTCACCAGGGGAAGTGGGGGTGGGGGTGAGGGTGGGAGCGTGGGGTGTGAGTTGCCAGGATGGAGTGGGAATAAGCTGTATTAGTGAAATAGTTTTACAAATGGGAAAGGAGAACTCAATCATTTTACGTGTATTTTAAAAATTGAGGTATAAATCACATACCATAAAAGTCACCATTTTAAAGTTTACACTTCAGTGGTTTTTCTCATACTCACAAATACCTATTATAAAATATAAATATATGTTTATAAAAGATTTTTGTGGAGCCTCTCTTTCAAGTCAATCCACCATTTTTGTTCTGGCAAATAACAACATACTAATAGCTATATTTAAAAGCAAACAAAGACCCAAAAGAAGAAAAAGAAGAGGAGGAGGAGGAGGAGGAGGAGGAGGGAAAAGCCTGGAACAAAAAGAAAGGGAAAACACAAGACCTTAAATGAAAGTGAAAGGCAAAATAAATAAGCCTCTCTAAGCTATGCATTTTGTAAGATAATGAATGGCAAATGTACATACAATTCTTTCAAGTAGTCCTTTGTTGATTTGCACTATTTCTCTACCTTGTATCTCTGGCATTTACCTATTACAGCAGCAGCAAGGAATCATAGGCTTCCAAACAGTGGAACTCATTCTAAAAACAACAGCAACAAATAGTAAAATTCCCAGAGTTTTCCATGGGATTCTAAGCCTTAATCCCCAAAAGACACACAGTCGAGCTGCCCAGGTTGTAGCAAGAACCAAAAACTGGAGCTCAACCATTGGAGCCTGGGAGGTCTCAGAACAGGATCTGAAACCAGCTAATTTTATTGAATCTTTTCCTTTTATTGATAAAGCCCAAAAAGCTAATTTACTAAGATCGATAGAAGATTGAGACTATATCATCCAGGTCTCCTGACTTCCTGTCCTGAGCTCATTTCTCTACAGAGAAATGCACCTCCTCCTGCATCTCCTCCACACTGGCCAGGCATCCATTTTTCCTCTGGGTAAATTTAATGACTCAGATATTAGGAAAAGATAAGCCTTTAAAAAAAAAAATCAGAAGTCTTCGTTACCTACTACCCAGTGATAAAAATTCATTACCTATCACAACCAGTGATAAAAATTTCTTGGTTTAGTTCCTTATGCAAATATGCACATGAAGACATAAACACACACATTTGTGCAATTTCCTACCTGGCTGTTTTCTACTTAGCATTACATGTAAGCATTTTCCCAAGTTCTTCAAATTCCTTAAAAAATGGAAGTTTTAATGGCTGATTAGTTTGCTTCATTGAGATCTATCATCTTTTATGTAACTGATCCCCTAAAATTAAATTAGGTTTTTGAGTTGTTTCCAGTATTTTACGATGATAAACTTCAGTGGGTATCACTGTACACAAATCTTTGTATACTTCTGTGATTATTTCTTTATGATAACTTCCTAAGAATAGAAATACTAAGTCAAAAGATGTGAGCAAGTCTCAGTACCTAACTGCCAAATTGCCTTTAGGTGAGTTGTATTACAAGCAGTATAATAAGAGCTTGTCTAAGCTCAATCTCACCATATTATTTTTCTTTTCCAATTTGCTTGGCAAAAATTAGTATCTTCCAGTTCACTAGTGAATTTTTCATTACCCATCAAGTTTAAAAAGCATTTAAGAACCAAATATATACTTACTATACAACTCAGTAGCATTATTCTTAGGTATTTACCCAAGAGAAAGGTAAATATGTCTACAAAGACTTGTGTAGGTCCAAAGTGAAAACAACCTAAATGTCCATCAACTAATAAATGGGATAAGCAATGTGCAGGACATCCATACTATGGAATGAATGCTATTAGGTAATTAAAAAAAATGAAATATTATTACATGAAACAACCTGGATGAATACCAAAGACATTATGTTACATGAAAGGAGTCAGACATGACAGACTACATGCTATATTGTGATTCCAACTTTATATGAAATTCTAAAAAACAAAAACTATAGTAACAGAAAGTAGGTCATTGATTATCTGTGGCCAAGGGGCAGGGAAAAGAATCTACTGAAAAGAGGCATAAAAATACTTTTTTTTTTAGGGTAATAGAACTATATACTGATTGTGATAGTAGTTACACAGCTACAAACAATTATAAAAATTCTTCAAACTCTATACTTGAAATGGGTAGATTTTAATGTGTGTAAAGTATACCTCAATGAAGCTGGAAAAAATAAACACAGAAGCAAAGATTACTTATGAAATTTTTTGAAAGAAATTAAATTATTGTAATTTTTGCATATTTCCTTTACTTTTGGGGCTATATTCATACTCTATGTAGCTATAATTATAGAATATATGTAAATTTATATTTTGCACATTTTTATCCACAATGTACATATTTCGGTATAGTTTTCATAATTATAATTTAAAATAGTTATACATAATTTCCCAAAGCCCCAAACCATTTCCCTACTGTTAACAGGTGAATTGCTAAATTTTAAAGCAGATGATTCCTAAAAAAAGAAAGAATAAAGAAAAATAAAAATAAAGCACGGTTCCCTCTCAATATTTGGACGCCACCAAGTGGAAAAACTGTGCAATGTTACTGAGATTGAAAAGACCATTTTATAAATTTTATAAACAGTAATTTAATGCTTAGTTTTCTAATTTGAAATTTATTTTATTTTATTTTTTATTTTTTTTTAACGTTTATTTATTTTTGAGACAGAGAGACACAGAGCATGAACGGGGGAGGGGCAGAGAGAGAGGGAGACACAGAATCGGAAGCAGGCTCCAGGCTCTGAGCCATCAGCCCAGAGCCCGACGCGGGGCTCAAACTCACAGACCACGAGATCGTGACCTGAGCTGTAGCCGGACGCCCAACCGACTGGGCCACCCAGGCGCCTCTGAAATTTATTTTAAAAGTTAAATAAATTACAAAAATTAAAACAGAGCATTTTACAGTTTACTGTAAAAAGACCATGATCCTCATCTATCTCTTTTAGTTACTTAACTCTCAAATCTCAATCTAGGGAATTCAGTTAAGGACAAGAGCTTCCTGTGGAAATCTAGTTCTTTACAACCTAAAGCCACAGGTGTAACTGTTAGACATGGGTCTATCATAAGCCTCAAGCCAAAAAATCACGAACGGATTTCCAAATGCAAATAGCCTTTGTTGTCAGCCCGGTGACTTCTAACGAAACTGTAAGCTCTGCCAGGAGGCACAATGAAATCAGTGATGAAAAGTTGGTGAAGACTGTTTGGAAGGCAGAGAAAGACACCAGGAAGCTCATTCCCTTTTGGGCAAAGACTTGCTGATTCTCTTTATGAGTCACCAGGATTTTCTCTCCACGGTCCTGGACTCTCCAGTTCAAGCTTTTCCTATTGCATTGAAACAGCAACTGGCTAGAGCCACAAAAAGAAAGATTATTTCAGGGAAGTGTTTGGTCCCAGGTGGGGTCAACAAAAGAATGACTTTTTCAAAGGAATGCCTTTGAGTGACACTGAGCCATTGCCTACCACCAAGCAGAAAGATGAACATGCTGCTCTATCTGTGACCCAACACTGCTCCCAATTATTTTTTCTGGCACTCTTTAACCCTCTCCATCTTGCTCTCCATACATTGAAAAGGAATAGTGCCACTCCAGAGAACTTTTAAAGGGATGCCATGAACCCACAAAATGAGAAACCAGTGACAGAAAGAAAATACAAGCTCACTGAGACAAAACTACGGTTTTATTGCGGTAAATTAGAGAGGCTTGTTTCTAGTTGCTGAAATGTTTGCTTGTTTTCATTTTAATTATTTCTTACAGAAAATTCATTATTTCAAAACAAAATCAAAAGGTACTAAATGGTAAACAATGGCTTCCCTGGCTGACCAGCCCCATGCCCAGAGGCAACCATGAACCATTTCTTGTGAATCTTTACATAAATATCTTATATGTAGAAGAACAGTTACATATATACATTCTCTCCATATGGACATTCAGTCCCATCCCCCTTTCCTTTTTGCACAAATGGTGAACCACTGTTCACAGTGATGCTTTTCACTTAAGAGTAGGTTAAATCATAGCATTCACACCAAATCAATACGTAGTTTGTCATTCATTTTAAAGTTGTATCATATTCTATCGCATGGATGTACCAGAAGATATTTAAGGAATTCCTTATTAAAACGAAAGTTTAGCTTGCTCCCAAACTTGCGCTATTTTCATTATTCTTACCAGAAATTCTCTGGGCGAATTTGATTGCTTCTTCAACCGGGTCTGAGTTCACCATTTCATCTAGAATGCCCAGCTTGAGTGCTTCGTCTGCCAAAATGTGTCTTCCTAGAACAAAACAAAATAAAACAAACCCAGAGAACTGTGTGAGATTAAAGCAAAAGCATTACTTTCTCTGGTAAGGAAGGTTATCTTTCCTGGATACAAACATCTATTCCTAAATGAAATAAGTAAGCAGCACGGTAGAAAGTAGTAGACAGGTCACTGCAGAGGTAACCAGAAAACTTAGTTCAAGCTTCAGCTCTACCTTCTACTCTTTGTGTGATGATGAAGAATTGTAGAGAGACCACACCTTCCTCCTAGGTAAATGGGAAAAATTATGCTTACCTTGGTAATTCTGAGTATCAACTGAGAAGAATACATTTTCTTTATATTCTGTAAATCTCTATAGAAGCACTTTGTTAACTATAAGTCTCTATATAAGTGATGATTGGGTTTTTGCTAATAATAATAGAGGTAGTAACAGCAGAGCAGTAGCAGTATCTATCTTACACCAACATACATACCAACACTGATTGCAAAAAACAAAAAACAAAAAAAAAAAACAGATAAACACAGTCCTAAAACAGAAATATAGCTGGGAAACGGGGAAATTAATGATTAAGTTGACATTATGTAAGTTATAATCAAAATTACACAGGACAAATGGGTGGACTTCTGTCATTTTTTGCTGACCCAGCATCTCAACCCCACCCTAAGTTTGTGGAATTGCTATTGTGTGAGCTTTGGACCCTGCCTTTTATTGCAGAAGCTAAAAGGGAAGCAGAAGCGATCAGACAATTGTTCCTTCAGGTCCACGCAGTTAGGGTGTGGCCCATGACCCCAAGTTTGGCGAACGGAGTGCTCCATAGAGGGTTTTTAGCCTGGGGTAATGACACTAAGCGGCAACTAGCGACATCTAGCGTCTGGTGGTGGCACTGGCAGCCTCCAAGTATAGAATGGCAGCTTTAGGGTGTTAAGAAATTTGATGAGGGGCGCCTAGGTGGCTCAGTCAGTTGAACGTCTGACTTCAGCTCAGGTCATGATCCCCCAGTTCGTGGGTTTGAGCCCCATGTTGGGCTTTGTGCTGACAACTCAGAGCCTGGAGCCTGCTTCAGATTCTGTCTCCCTCTCTCTCTGCCCCTCCCCAACTCATGCTCTGTCTCTGTCTCTCAAAAAGAAATAAACATTAAAAAAAATTAAAAAAAAATTTGATGAGCATCACTCCTGAGTTCTTCACCAGGTGTAAATATGTAAATTAATCTGAATATTCTGAAGTAGAGGGTTAAGGGATATAAGCATCCCTTATCACAGGGTCAAGAAGAAAGGCAACAATAACACCTGGCTTGCTTGCTTTCTTGCCAGTAACATCTTGCCTTGTGAAAGTGATCATCAGATCAGTCTTGGTGGCGATAATTCCACAGTCCTTGCTGCTCTTACAGTGTTAGTGGATGCCATCTTTGAGACAAACCCTCCATTCCTGGTTCTTAGTAGCGCTTCAGAGAGTTAGAAATGGGTTTTCTTGATTAGAGAGACAGTGCAATGATTTTTGGCAGGAGTCACTCTGCAACAACATTATTTGGTTAGTTTTCTGGAAGTGCCTTTGAAAACAGGCTCCCAGATTTCCTCCTGGGGTGAGACAGGCGGTGAAGAGTGGATGAGTGGCTGCGGGGGTCACATCTCCTGTGTAGAAGATCACTTGGGTGAGGGGTGAGTGCCCAGCCTGCAGCCTACAGACAAAATGGAAAATGGAAACCTGAGTACTAAAAGGGTCTTTGGGGAAACTGAGTAGGAAATGTGAGCTACCCAAAAGATGTACTGAAAATTCCTTCAGCTGTGATGGTCTCTTCTGGCCTGGATTTCACAAAAGTGCAGGTGTATGACTGCTGTTCTTAGAGTGTCAGTGAGATTCTAGGTACTTTTATTGTCTCAAGGGCCTAAAGATGCAGCTCTGTATATACAACCCAAATCTTCAGGCTCAGATTTAAACTTGCTTTTTCTCTTTCTACTTCAGTGTAGACAACAACCACTGTCCAATGGACTTTAATAAGACCCCTGACTAGAGCTACTATAAGGAGACCCAGGGTAACCAAAGTTCAGACTTCTCTTCTTCAAAGTGGGTAATCTCAATTTTTTCCAATGTTTTTCACGGCTTCTTTTCCAACCTTTAGAACATTTTTGCCTACATAGAATCCTTTCCAGATGTCATTTTAAAGTCCCCCTAAAATTGTACAGACAACGTAAAAAGATAGGTGTATGATTCTGTTAGTTTTCTTCTAACTCACTGTGACCTTTTCTATGCAAATCAAAATCCATCATAGTCTTAGTTTTTACTTCTTCTCTTCATCAAGTTAAAAATAGTGATATTTCTATAAGCAGCAGTGCTTTGGAAAAGGCAATCCTAGTTCACTTCATTTCTTTTTGTCAAAGCAGCCAGATTTCTTCCTGATTTCCCCCAAGATACACTTGCCTTCCAGACTTAATGATAAGAACAGAGACACAAAATTCCTCAATATTCCCCCACATGCTTCAATTTTTGTAAACCTTAGGCTTTACAGACTCATTTCACACTATTATAATTTCCCCATATTTTCTTCTGCTTTGCTTCCTTTCTATTTCATCTTTTGCAGAATGAACTGTCTTCTGTGCTTTGAATTTCTGTAGTCTGTTGGATGATAAGCATCATCTTAGGAATTTTACATTTAGATACTTAACATACTGTACATTCTTAAAAGTGTACTTATCATAACATTGTAAATTAAAACAATTTCTACTTTAATTTATTAAAGACAAGAAGTTTAGTATATTTAGGTTTTCTAACTACCCTTTCATAAGATTTAGAACACCCCCCCATGATTTGAAAGAAAAAATAAGCCTTTTTTACACACATAGACTCATATTATTTTCTAATTTGGACCACATATACTCAGTTTTGTATTGTGGTTTCTGTGTCTAAGAAAAGAGATCCCAATTAGCAATTCTCAAACTTTTTAATCTTAGGATCCCTTCGCACTCTTAAAAATAATGGAGGACTCCAGGGGCACCTGAGTGGCTCAGTTGGTTGAGTGTCCGACTTCGGCTCAGGTCATGATCTCACGGCTTGTGAGTTTGAGCACCACGTCAGGCTCTGTGTTGATAGTTCAGAGCCTGGAGCCTGCTTCGGATTCTGTCTCCCCTCTCTCTGCCCCTCCCCCGCTCATGCTCTGTGTCTCTCTCTCTCTCTCTCTCAAGAATAAATAAACATTAAAAAAAAAAACACCTATAAATAAATAAATAAATAATAATGGAGGACTCTAAAAAGCTTTTATGTGGATTATTTCTTTTTTTTTTTAAATTTTTAAAAATGTTTATTTAAACATAAAGTCACCCAGGTGCCCCATGTAGATTATTTCTATAGGTATTTACTGTATTAGAAAGGAAAACTGGGGTGCCTGGGCGGCTCTGTTGGTTAAGCGTCCAACTTCGGCTCAGGTCATGATCTCACAATTTGTGAATTCGAGCCCCGCGACGGGCTCTGTGACAGCTTGGAGCCTGGAGCCTGGATTCGGATTCTGTATCTCCCTCTCTGCCCCTCCCCTATTCATGCCCTGTCTTTCACTCTTTCAAAAATAAACACTAAAAAAAATTTTTTTAAGTTAAAACTGAGAACTTTAAAATGTTTATTGTATTACTTTAAAATAACAACGATAAATGTTAACGTTGATGTTAACATGAATAAATTTTTATGCAAAATAACTATTTTCAAAATTTTAAAAACTTAGTGAGAGAGTGTCATTAGTTTACATTTTTACAAATTTCTTTCAAATCTGGCTTAATAGAAGACAGATGGATTCTCATTATCTGCTTCTTCATTCTATCTGTTCTGACATCATGTGGCATACAACAACCTCTGGAAAATTCTAGTATACATGTGTGAGAGAATGAGTGGAAAGGCAAATAATGTCCTATTGTTATGAAAGTAGCTCTGACTTTATGAACGGCCCCAGAGGATCTTAGGCATACCCAGGAGTCCCTGGACCACACTATAAGAACTTCTGATTTAGATTATCATTTTAAAGACTGTATAGAATCCTAGAATAGAATCCACAGTCTTTAAAATGATGATAATATATGACAAATGTATGACACATTCATGTACTAGGGTCGTGTATTATCTAATCTGATATATGTTATTGCTGCGTTGGAGCGTGGGTACCAGGATCGTATATGAATGTTCCATACATTTAGCATTTATTTGTGGCTGAGTGATTTTAGTTATTTTGAAAGTAATCTTTTGCTTTGTTTTATCCTTTGGAAGCTTGCAGGATCCATTTCCTGCAAGTTCAAAATCTTTACCAAAGTACATCAGGGAATTGATATCTCCGCATCAGTTTTTCCAGGAAAATGGTGAGCCTGCTGAAACATGATCTCTGATTCCATTTCATATCTGAAGAGTTTCTTCTATTTTTTCTTTTGGTTACTGCTTCTCACATCTTTGCTTCATGCTTTGAGAGCTCTTATTATTCATAGCAGAGACTCTGATTATATACCTTCCATATCTGCCGCCTTCCTTTACATTTTATGTATCTTTTTGTTAAATTCTTCTGACTTCACAGAATTCCATAAATGTGCCTCTGTTTATCCTCCATGTTGCTGACTGAGTTGTCTGTTTGATCATATCTTCTTTTTGTTGCTTCTAAAAGAAGTTATTTGGGCAAATGTTTTGCTTCCAGATAGTGTGTTCTTATTTAACAAATAATAGATGTTCTTTTCTAATTTAGAATATTTTCTAAAATTGTCATTTTCTTTGATCTGTTTCATATGAATGTTTCACTCTTTTTTTTTTCAATATATGAAATTTATTGTCAAATTGGTTTCCATACAACACCCAGTGCTTGTTTCACTCTTTTAAAGTCACAGAATATCTTTATAGGTTTTGGGTTTAGTGCTAAGTTTTTTTTTGTTTGTTTTAGTCACAGAATGATACTTGCTGATATCTATTATCACTGCCTGGGAGCCCCGGCTACTAAAATTCACCCTCAACCTCTTGCTCAAATGTAGAGAAAACTCACCTGGACTTAACCCACCTGAAAGGCAGGTAGGATAAAGATGCCACTCACAACTTCTCCCCCACTATTCTAGATGGCAAGATGCATCCCCTCAGCATCTAGAGCCTGAATGTATCCTTGTCCTGGGAATGACCATAAAGAAATTCATGGGCTAGAGCAAAGCTCTGTGAGAACAGAGCAGGGATTTTGTGTGCTGTTCAGTGAACAAGGAGGACGAGCCATAAAAAATGAAGCAGAAGCAAGAGCAGGGAACTGTAGCTCTTGTCACTTGACCGGACAGAGAACATCAGGGAATGAATTGCAAGGTGCTCTAGCAAATCTTTTGTGGTTACTGCTAAAGATTCAGCTGTTTCCGGGTAGCATTTTCAGGCAACTGTGGAAAAGCAACGGTGGCTGCTATAATTGCTCCACTTTCCAGAATTACCTCTCTAATGGTTTTCAGATCAGAAAAGGTTAGCTACTTACTTATTAATTTCATTTAAATCTGTTTACTTATTAACTTCCTATGGGGACAGTGCCTACAAAGCCGGTGTTTTTACAGCATTAACATCAGTAGGGGATCTTCAACTTTCAATAACAATTTTTTTAGCATAGTCGGTTAGGGGAGAAAAAAACAACCTTCCAAACCGAACAGCAACAGTCGTAATAGCATCATTATTAATAGCTACTGTATTAGTTTCTTATGCAAATTCCCACAAACAGAGCAGCTTAAAACAACATACATTTATTATCTTAGTTTAGGATATCAGAAGTCTAAAATAGGTCGGCAAAATTGTGTTCCCTCTGGAGGCTCTAAGGGAGAATCTGTTGCATCGTCTTTGCCCGCCTCTAGAGGCTGCCTGCGTTGCTTAGCTTGTGGCCACTTCCTCCATCTTCAGAGCCAGCTGGTAGCATCTTGTCTCCTCTCTAACCTCCTGCCCTCCTCTTCTAAGTACCCTTGTGAGGAACTGGACCAACCTGGAAAATCCAAAGTAATCTACCTGCTTAAAATCCTTAATTTAATCACACCTGCAAAGTCACTTTTGAATGTGAGGCATCATATTCACAAGTCCTGGAGATTAGGACACAGACAACTTTGGTGGGGTGGGAGGCATTATTCTGCCTACCACAGTTACCATTTATAAAATGTCTTCTATGTGTCAGGTACTGTACCAGAAGCATGTTATGTCATTTCATTATTCCTCAAGGCAACCATGTAGTTGTTTTCTGTTGAGAAAATGGAGTCTGAGAGGAGATCAGAAGACCTCTCTCCTAAACTCCAGGCCAGTCTGTCCAACTGTCTACTTGGCGTCTCCACTTGGATGTTTAACAGACCTCTCAAACGTAACATGCCCCCAGCTAAGCGCTTGTGATTCCTCCCTACATCCTACTCTGCCAGTAGCAATCTCCATCTCAAAAATGGCACCATCTTTCCAGCTGCGCAGGTCATTAGAATCATCCTTCGCTCTGCTCTTCCTTGCACATTTCACTTTTTTGATAAATCACAAAATCCTGCTGGCTCTACCCTCATAATATATGCCGAATTTGACCATGATTCACCATTTACATTGTTACCGCTCAGGTCCCAGCTCTCATCATCTGTCCCTTGGGTGACTGTAGCAGGCTTCTAATCAGCCTTCCTGTGTCTGCCTTACCTCTAATTAATGTATTTTCAACAGCCAGGGTGATCCTTTAAAAAACAAATGAGAGCATGTGACTCTGCTCAGAACACTCCAATGCCTTTCTACCTCATTGAGAAGAAAAGCCAAAGGTCTTTGTATACTCTTCAAAGCCTTACACGATGTGACTTCATCCCCTACCTCTCTTTCCCTTCCTCACTTCACTCCAGCTGTATCCACCTTCTTGCTTTTCTTTGAAACTTCCAAGTATCCTGCTGCCTCAGGGCTTTGCATTTGCTATTTATCCATGTGGAATGCATTTCTCCAGATATTGGCATAATAAGCCTCCTCATCTCTTTCAGGTCTTTACTCAGATGTCATTTAGTAGGAAAGCCTTTTTAATCCCTCCATCCCTAACATTTTATATTAAAATATTACCTACCCCTCCATCTCTAACATTTTATATTCCCACTTTGTTTTGTTTTCTCCTTAGCACTTATCTCCTTCTAACTTACTATGTCTATACATAGTAATATGTAACTTACATATATATCTAACTTACTATGTATGTATATACATATTATATACATATATATATATACATATATATACATAATAGATAGGCATATGTGTGAGTATAAAGTTGAAGTAACTAGCCTCCAAAGTGGCTCCAGTGAGTTTCACCTCTTGGTGTTCAAGCCCCCTCCCATGTTGAATAGGGAAGACCTGTATAAATAATTTCATATATATATAATACATATATATATAATATATATGTATTATATATACACATATATATAATATATATGTGTATATATAATACATATATATATGTATACATATATATATAATACATAATCAATCAGAAAAGATGGTGCATAACTCCAAAGCTAGGTCCTAAAAGATATCGCAGCTATTGCCTTGCTCTCTCTTGGATCTCTCAGTCCAGAGGTAGTCAGCTTCCATATTGTGAAGACACTCAGGCAGCTTTAGGGAGAGGTCTATGTGGAGAAGAAATGCCAACAGTCAGCACCAACTAGCCATCCATGTGAGGAAGCTATCTTGGAAGTAGATCCTTCAGCCCCACTCAAGTTTTCAGACAACTACAGCTCTAATCAATGTCTTGATTACAACTTCATGAGAAACCCTGAGCTTAGAGTCCAACTAAGCTGGTCCCAAATTCCCGACCCACAGAAATATAGAGAGAAGAAACACTGTCAATCAAAACATGACTCTTTCTTCCAACCTTACTTCAACTGGAAATCTCTTTATAAGTCTTACAGGATTTGGTAAATCCAGGATCTCTAAATGTTTTCTATTGTTGCGTTGTTCACTTTCCCTATGGAAAGAGAACTTTCATTTGTAGCTAATATCTTAATACTTGGGAAATGAAAAATTCAGTCATTTCCACACTATAACTTCAAACCTTTCCATGACAATTCTGGTTTTAATTCTCATGTACATTATAATTTCTAAATTGAGTCTGCATATAATGCACCCTATGTGAATACAAGTGTTTATGCATGGACACGTGAGCTATAATAAAATCTTACTTATAATTAGTGCTCTGTAAACACTTTCATTTAGAAGGCACATGGGGTGCCTGGGTGGCTCGGCTAGTTAAGCGACCAAGTTCAGCTCAGGTCATGATCTTGTGGTTTGTGGGTCTGAGCCCACGACGGGCTCTGTGCTGACAGCTCAGAGCCTGGAGCCTGCTTCAGATGCTGTGTCTCCCTCGCTCTCTGCCCCTCTCCCGCTCATGCTCTGTCTCTCTCAAAAATGAATAAACATTAAAGAAATTTTTTTTGGGAGGCACTTACATGTGATCTTCATGGTAATGTCTGAGAAGCTCTCAGGGAAAGTACTCCTTCCATTTTACAGATGAGAAAATTGATAGTCAAAGAAATTAAAGTATCCTCTTAAGATTACTTGAGTGGGTAATGGTCAATCCAGAATTTCTCTAAATCTTAAACCAGTTCCTCGAATTGCTCTAGACAGCTGTTGTCAGGGTTTGTACTGACCTGAGGTAATTAAATCGAGTGCAGCAGGAACTCCAATGAGTCTGGGGAGAAGCTGGGTTCCTCTTGCACCAGGAAGGAGTCCTAGTCTGACTTCTGGGAAGCCAATTTGAGCCTATTAAAGTTTGAAGGCACAAAGGTCATTAGAATGAGACAGCATGTAAAGGGGAGGATTCCTCTGGATTTCCCACACTTTCAAAAACACTGTTTCAGGAGTTTCTGCAGAGCAATGCACACACACTCTCTCTCTTAAAATAAATACATAACAAAAAGCGAGAGTGCCTGGGTGGCTCAGTTGGTTAAGCGTCCGACTCTTGATTTTGGCTCAGGTCCTGATCTCAAGGTTCCTGAGATCAAGCCCTGCATCAGGCTCTGCCCTGACAGTGTGGAGCCTGCTTGGGATTCTCTCTCTCCCTCTCCCTGCCCCTCCCCCTACTCTCAAAATAAATAAGACACTTTAAATAAATTAAAAAATGTTTAATGTTTATTCATTTTTGAGAAAAAGAGAGAAAGACAAAGCACTAATGGGGGAGGGGCAGGCTCCAGGCTCTGAGCCATCAGCATAGAGCCTCAACCATTGAAATCATGGCCTGAGCAGAAGTCAGACGCTTAACTGACTGAGCCACCCAGGCACCCTGACACTTTAAATAAATTTTTTTAAAAAAAGTTTTTACAGGGCAAATTAGTGTACACCCTCTACTTAGGTTAACAACATAAACAGAGCTGTGCTGTCCCTAAATCTTCATGTTGAAATACATCTCTAACTTCTTACATATTTTTTTCTCTGACTCCATTGTGATCTGTTTCAGCCAACAAAAGTTATATTGTCCAGAAACAGCTTTATGGAGCCCTAAAAGAGCCAGGAAGCTGAGAAATTAAAAGGAAAACTCACAGAATAGGAGAGAATATTTGCTAATCATGTATGTAGAATATATAAAGAACTTTTTACAACTCAGTAATAAAAAGACAATCCAATTAAAAATGGGCAAAGGAAGGGCACCTGGGTGGCTTAGTTGGTTAAGCCTCCGACTTCAGCTCAGGTCATGATTTCACAGCTCGTGGGTTTGAGCCCTGCATTGGGCTCTGTGCTGACAGCTCAGAGCCTGGAGCCTGCTTCGGATTCTGGGTATCCCTCTCTCTCTGCTCCTCCCCCACTCAATCTCTCTCTCTCTCTCTCTCTCTCTCTCAAAAGTAAATAAAAAACATTTAAAAAATTGGCAAAGGATCTGAATAGACATTTCTCTAAAGAAGAGATACAAAATAGCCAATAAGCACATGAAGAGATGTTCAATATCATTAGCCCATCAGGAAAATGCAAATCAAAACCACAACAAGATACTATTTCACATCCAATAGGATGACTATAATAAACACACACACACACACACACACACACACACACACAACACACACAATGTTACACAAATTTTCCTAGCATCATTGTTCATAAAAGCCAAGAAAATAGAAACAATTCACATGTTCATCAACTGATGAATGGATAAAGAAAATGTGGTATATCCATACAAGGAAATATTATTTGGCCATAGAAAGGAATGAAGTACTGACAAGCTACAACATGGTTGAACGATGACAACATTATGCTAAGTGATAGAAGCCAGTCATAAAAGACAACATGTTGTATGATTCTGTGTATATGAAATGTCTAGAATAGGCAAACCCATAGAGACAGAGAGTAGATTAGTGGTTGCCTAAGACTGAGGGAGAGGGGAGATGGTGGGTTACTCCTAAAGGGTATGAATTTTCTTTTTGGTATAATAAATGTTCTAAAATCCACTGTGGTAAGGGTTACACAGCCCTGTGAATATGCTAATATACCATTCAGTTGTACACTTTATTTTTATTTTTTTAAGTAGGCTCCACGTCCAGCGTGAAGCCCAGTGCAGGGCTTGAACTCACAACCCCGAGATCAAGACCAATCAAGAGTCAGATAACCAACTAAGCCACCCAGGCACCCCTCAATTGTACATTTTATTTTTAAATGTTTTTTTTTTTATTTTTAAAAATGTTTATTTTTGAGAGAGAGACAGCAAAGGCAGGGGAGGGACAAAGAGAGATGGAGACACAGAATCAGAAACAGGCTCCAGGCTCTGAGCTGTCAGCACAGAGCCTACCGTGGGGCTCGAACCCACCAACTGCGAGATCGTGACCTGAGCTGAAGTTGGATGCTCAACTGACTGAGTCACCCAGGCGCCCCTTAAATGGTTTTTTTTTGTTGTTTATTTATTTATTTTTGAGAGAGAGAGAGAGCATGAGCAGGGGAGGGGCAGAGAGAGTGAGGGAGACAGAGAATCCAAAGCAGGCTCCGAGATGTCAGTGCTGAGCCTGATGCAGGGCTTGAACCCAGGAACAATGAGATCATGACCAGAGCCAAAGTCAGACACTTAACTGACTGAGCCAGCCAGGCACCCTCAATTGTACACTTCAAATGAATGTATTATATGGTTTTTGAGTTATATCTCAATAAAGCTCTTACAGAAAAAAAATTAGACAGCAACCTCAGTCCAGGCAAGAGAATGAATTCAAGCCCTTTACCACATGCCTCTCTTGGCTATTTAAAAGTGGCTAAAGTTCTGTTAGTTTTGTTACAGGTACAGGATGGGAGGAGGAGGGTGCTTTAATGCAGACTGTCATTTACCCACATTGTGATTCCAAGAGCTCCAAATACCTGGAATATTTAAGCGTTTCTCACACAAGGCATTCCTAACAGTCAGTCAAGAATTTTTCCACCACTGTTCATCCCCATCCCCTGACTTATCATTGCTTATAACTTACATCTACACTCAGTGTGTAGAAGGCATGGTAAGAGGGACACAGAAAAAGGAGCACTTAGGATATATATCTTTATTCATAAACCCTTATAAAAATTAAAATGCTGGGGTGCCTGGGTGGCTCAGTTGACTGAGTGTCCAATTCTTGATTTCAGCTCATTTTATGATCTCAGGGTTCATGGGCTTAAGCCCCATGTCTGGTTCTGTGCTGACAATGCAGAGCCTGCTTGGGATTTTCTCTTTCCCTCTCTCCCTGCCCTCCCCTGCTCTCTCTCTCAAAATAAATAAACATTAAAAAAATTTAATGCTACAAGGAAATGTTAAATAAATTATGGTATATCTATAAGACAAAATTATACAGCCATTTAAAATGATATGTTTAAAGACTATTTACAGGGGCGCCTGGGTGGCGCAGTCGGTTAAGCGTCCGACTTCAGCCAGGTCACGATCTCGCGGTCCGTGAGTTCGAGCCCCGCGTCGGGCTCTGGGCTGATGGCTCGGAGCCTGGAGCCTGTTTCCGATTCTGTGTCTCCCTCTGTCTCTGCTCCTCCCCCGTTCATGCTCTGTCTCTGTCTGTCCCATAAATAAATAAAAACGTTGAAAAAAAAATTAAAAATAAAAAATAAAAAATAAAGACTATTTACAATAAGATTAACAGCAGGTTTCTTGTCAGAAACCATGGAGACCAAAAGGCAGTAGGTTGACATATTCAAAGCACTAAAAGAAAAAACATGTCAAACAAAAATTCTACATCCAGCAAAACTAGCTTTTGAAAATGAAAACAAGGGGCATCTGGGTGGGTTAGTTGGTTAAACATCCAACTCTAGATTTTGGCTCAGGTCATGATCTCATGGTTCATGGTTTCGAGGCCCATGTCAGGCTCCACACTCCCAATCCTGCTTGGGATTCTCTCTCTCCTTCTCTCTGCCCCTCCCCCATTCTCTCTCTCTCTCTCTCTCTCAAAGTAAATAAATAAACTTTAGAAAAATCAAAATGAAGGCAAATTAAAGCATTCTGAGGTAAAGACAAAAATTGGATTTGTTGCCAGCACATCTGCCCTACAAGAAATCCTTCACAATGAAATGAAAGGACACTAGACAGGAACTCAAATCCATGTGAAGGAATAAAAAACAATGATAAAGGATCACTATTTAGGCAAATATAAAGGACAAATTAATATAAACTTTTCTGTATAATTCTTCTTTCCTATCTGACTTAAAAGACCCCTACGTTAAGCAATAATAAAAAATCTATATGTTTTCACTCTTATGTGGATCCTGAGAAACTTAACAGAAGACCATGGGGGAGGGGGGGGGAAGTTACAGAGAGGGAAGGAGGCAAACGATAAGAGACTTTTAAAAACTGAGAATAGGGGCGCCTGGGTGGCGCAGTCGGTTAAGCGTCCGACTTCAGCCAGGTCACGATCTCGCGGTCCGTGAGTTCGAGCCCCGCGTCGGGCTCTGGGCTGATGGCTCAGAGCCTGGAGCCTGTTTCCGATTCTGTGTCTCCCTCTCTCTCTGCCCCTCGCCCGTTCATGCTCTGTCTCTCTCTGTCCCAAAAATAAATAAACGTTGAAAAAAAAAAAAATTAAAAAAAAAAAAAAAAAAAAAAAAAAAAAACTGAGAATAAACTGAGGGTTGATGGGGGGAGGGAGGGGAACATGGGTGATGGGCATTGAGGAGGGCACCTGTTGGGATGAGCACTAGGTGTTGTATGGAAACCAATTTGACAATAAATTTCATATTTAAAAAAAAAATCTATGTTAATGGGCATACAAATGTGTAATGATACAATTTGTGACAATAACAGCATTAAAGTAGTGGGTAACGGAACCATATAGAAGCAAACTTTTTTGTATACTATTGAAATTAAGTTGGCATTAATCTGAACTAGATTGTTTTAAATTAAGACGTTAATTGTAATCACCAGGACTTTCTTACCACCAGTAAGAAAATAACTCAAATATACATAGTAAGAGAAGGAACAAGAAAATGAAAAGGGTAATAGAAAATATCTATGTAATACAAATGAAAGCATTAATGGAATAATTGAGAAACAAAAAAGATAGAAGACAAAGAAAAAAATAGCAAAATGGCAGAAGTAAGTACTTCCTTATTAGTAATTGTGTTACATGTAAATAGATTAAACTCTCTAAAACAGATTGGCAGAATGCATAAACAAATAGGGTAAATATGATATTAGTATAAAAATGGAGTACAAATGAAATACAATATAATTCCAAAGGTAGGTATTTTTTTTGTGTTTGTGTGTGTGTGTGTGTGTGTGTGTGTGTGTGTTTAGTTCATTTATTTTGAGAGAGAGCACGTGGGAGGGGCAGAGAGAAGGGAGAGAGAGGATCCAACACTAACAGCATGGAGCCCTACTTGGGGCTTGATCCCACAGATGGAACCATGAGATCATGACCTGAACGGAAACCAAGAGTCAGACACTTAACCAACTGAGCCAACAAGGCGTCCCTGTAGGTGTTTTTTTCCTTAAAGACGGCAAAGAAAAAGAAATTTAAAAAAAGCTATAAGAAAAATGTATTACATAGGAAGAAGACCAAAAGAAAATAAAATAGAATATTAATAGTGATTATTTCTGAACTGTGAGTTTATGGGGATTTTAGTTTACATCTTTATACTTTCCTGTATTTTTTAGTCTATCACAATGATCAACATTATCTTTATCGTTAGAAAAATGTTACTTACAAAATGTTACCATTCTGAGACTGATATCACAGACCTCATCTACATACTTAATAGCCCAAATTAAATCTATTTCCAGAAACAAATGGATTTACAATTTTGTGCTATTTTCAAATAGGAAATTGTCTTCTAAGGTACTAATAATTACAAAGGACCACAAAACCAAAACCTTTGAGGAAATAAAAATTTAAATAAGTATGCATACTCAGGGATGAGAGTCAAAATATTTTATACCTCATGCTGCATAAGCATGGCTCAGCGGAACATGACGTGGGTCATACTACTGGAGCAGAGTCGTGGGGGCCCTGTACCGACCCAGTAGTTCCCCTTTGGTTTGTGTTTTATGTGGAGACCCAAGGGCTAGGGCTAGGGAAGCAAAGGGACAGTCATGGGGCTCAGGGTAACAGCTATTTACTCATGGAATGGACATTTTTCAACATGTCAACAACTACTACCACTGTGCTGATGCATAGCAGCTGAAAAACCAGTGCTAAAAATACATAAGAGTTGTCAACCAGGAAGCTAGCCTTTCAAAATGATCACAACTGAGGCTTATACAACATTTAGACATCGCCTTAAAGAAAAGCCCCCCACACCGAGCCCCATATGGAGCTTCAGCGGTTACCTCTGCATGGGCAATCCTATAGTGACAGCCCAGGGCCAGCTCTAGTCCCCCTCCTAAAGCCATGCCTTGAATAGCTGCCACCACGGGCTTCTCATTTCTCTGTATTTCATCTACTACATGTCCCAATACGATGGCGGGCTTTCTAGGAGCAGTGAAGCCGTGGATATCAGCACCTAAGGACACAGACAAGGAAAAAGAGAGGTGGAGAGACTTGGACTTTGTTATAGACAATAAGGTATCAGATAACTCTCAAGGAATTTCAGACCTTCTTGGGACCACAAGACATTTAATTCTTTGGCTGGACACACAGTGAAGGAAAAATAACCTGGAAAATGTAGAACATTACAAGAGAAAATCCTCAAACCTTGATCAGGAATCCTGTAATCTAAAATCTGTCTTCCATATGATAGGTAGTAACTCTACCTGTAAAAAATTAAAAGCCTCAGAGAAGGGGGAATAGAGATTCAGAAGTTGAACCAGCCCTCCCTCCTCTTCTTTTTTTAGTATAGTATTGCTCACCAACCTTATTATATCTTTGTTAAGAGCATAAATCATTACAACATAAAACCTCAGCATAAAACACATACATATTTGTGAGTTATGTGTTTTATGTTTTTGTAATAGATTGTTTTTGTGATCAATAAAAGCAACATTTATTTCTTTTCCTAATTATAAAAATAACACATGCATTATAGAAAATTTGAAAAATACACAAAATAATAAAGAACATAAAGATCACCCCAAAATCACCACACAGAGATAACAATGTAATATTTTCGTGAATTCTTAATTGTTTCCCAAAGCATATATGTAAATGGCTTTGTGATCTTCAGTAACTTATGCAACTTTTTTATAACACCTATCTTCAGTGACTTAGGAGAGAATTAAATTAAAGTTTGCTATCATATATATTTAACAATATTGAAAGCATTCTATAACATCATTTTTCATATTTTCCTTTTTTCACATAACATTATACTGAACTCTTCCCCACAGAATTATCTATTCTTGGAAACATTAAGCTTGGCAAGAGTTAAAAAGTTAAAGTAATTCTTTCATACCAACCTATTTAACTTTTCATTTCTACCTGTACCTTACCCAGCATCAATCCAAGATTATGATTTTTTTGCTCACCAATCCATCATACTCACACTCTCATCTAGTGTTATTAGTTATTATTTCTATTCCTTTTTGGCTCAAGAAAAACAAGATATCTCAGGCCTATCAATCCTGTAAGTTTAGATTTAAATGATTTTTCATGTCATAATAGCAATTAGTGCGTATTGGATAAATACTTTACATCAGGCACCGTGCTAAGTAGTTTCATATACTCTCTTATTTGATTTTCTTAATACGTAGGTTAAGTAGTATAACCATCTCCATTTCACAGGTCAGGAAGCTAAGGCTTTGAGATGTTAAGTGACTAGTTCAAACATATGACCAGTTAATTACTGGTAGAATAAGGATTTGAACTCAGTTTAACTACAGAGCCCACATTCTTAAACGTTATTACTACATTTTTCTACCTGCAGCATAAGGTTAGTACTAGTATCCCAATTTTACAGAAACCAAGGCACAAACAAGAGTACAGTGATTTCACTTTTTAACTGTTTATTTCTGGCATATAGAAATGCAATAAAGTTTTGGATATTGATTTTATATCTAGCAAAATTACTAAGTTACTAATTATAATACCTTTCTAATAGATTATTTTGATTTTTCTGCAAACTCTATCATATCTTCTGGATAATGAAGTTTTGTTTCTTCCTTTCCAATCCCAATACCTTTCGTTTGTCTCTCTAGCCTTACTGGACTGGCCAGGGCCTAAAACACAATGTCAAACAGAAATGGGGAGAGTAGCTAGCCTCGTCTTGCTCCCATCTCAGAAGGAAAGCTTTGTTTTGTTTTGTTTTGATTTTTTCGTTTTTAAGTAATCTTTATACCCAACGTGGGGCTTGAGCACAAAACCCCAAGATCAAGAGTCTCATGCTCTACTGATTGAGCCAGCCAGGTGCCCCAGGAAGGCTTTCAACTTACCATTTTATCTGATGTTTTCTATTGGTTTTCAAAAATGGATTAAGACATTTTCTTTCTATACCTAGTTTACTAAAAATTTTTATTTTTTTTTTAATTTTTTTTTTTTTCAACGTTTATTTATTTTTGGGACAGAGAGAGACAGAGCATGAACGGGGGAGGGGCAGAGAGAGAGGGAGACACAGAATCGGAAACAGGCTCCAGGCTCCGAGCCATCAGCCCAGAGCCCGACGCAGGGCTCGAACTCACAGACCGCGAGATCGTGACCTGGCTGAAGTCGGACGCTTAACCGACTGCGCCACCCAGGCGCCCCTAAAAATTTTTATTTTTAATGCATGTCAAATGATATCAAATGTTTTTTCTGCAGTTCTTAACAAATGCATATGATTTTTCTGTTTTAATCTTTTAATAGAATGAACTACATTAATCTTATAATGTTCAACCAATCTGGAATTTCCGGGAAAAAAAAGTGATGCCTTCCACTTTTTATATATTGTTAGATTCAATTTTATGATGTATTATTTAAGATTTTTATACTTATGTTTATGAATGAAACTTGCCTTTCATTTTGCTTTCCTTTCATTGCAAATTTCATTTGTAAGTTTTGCTTTTTCATACTGGCCTTGATAGGTGTTGGTATCAAGATTATGCTAGCATCATGAAATGAGTTAGAAAGAGTACTGGATTGAATGGTGCCCACGCAGACCTGTGAAACTTACCTTATTTGGAAATAGGGTCTTTGCAGATATAACTGAGTAAAGATGAGGTCATACTGGATTTGGGTGGGTCTATATAAGATCAGGGAAATCTGGACGCAGGCGAGAAGGCCATGGAAAGAGACAGGAGTGATAAAGCAATAAGCCAAGGAACACCAAGGATTGCCTGCAACCACAGAAGCTAGAGGAGGCAAGCAAAGAGTCTTCCCTAGAGCCTCTGGAGTAAGAATGACCATACAGATACCTTGGTTTGAACTTCTACCCTCCACAAGTCATCGGTTATGGCAGCCCAAGGAAACTAATATGGGAATTTACTCTGTGAGATTTTTGATTACTGATTCGATTTCTTTAATGGTTTTTTATTTCCACTTGAGTCATATTGGGAAGCCATAATATTTTCATTATCTTTTTTAATGGCTACAGTATCTGCAGTGATATCCCATTTGCCATTCCCTATATACATTGTGCCTTCCCTTTTTCTCTTGATCAATCTCTCCAGAGGTTTGTAGATTTCATTAGTCTTTCAAAGAACTAACTTTTGACAGTCTTGAATCACATTTGTTTCTATCACATTAATTTCTCCTCTTCATTATTCCCTTTCTTCTACTTCATTGGGTCTAGTAGTTCATTGGTTAGTTCCTTGATATAGATGCTTAACTCGTTATGTTTCAGTCTGTTTTCTTTTCTGATAAATACTTTAAGGTTATAAATCTCCTGCTAAGTTTTGCGTTAGCTGTATCCTTCAATTATATATGTTGCATTTTCACTATCATTCAGTTCTAAATATTTTCTAAATTCTATTATGATTTCACTTTGACTCAGGGATTAAGAAATGAATTTAATTTCTAAACATATGAGTATTTTTAGTTATATTTTTGTTATTGATTTCTAGTTTAATTGCATTGCTGTCAGAGAACATATTCTAAGTAAAATTTTTTTTTTATTTAAAAAAAAATTTTTTTTTAACGTTTGTTTATTTTTGAGACAGAGAGAGACAAAGCATGAATGGGGGAGGGTCAGAGAGAGGGAGACACAGAATCTGAAACAGGCTCCAGGCTCTGAGCTGTCAGCACAGAGCCCGACGCGGGGCTCGAACTCACGGATGGCGAGATCATGACCTGAGCTGAAGTTGGCTGCTTAACCGACTGAGCCACCCAGCGCCCCAGTAAAATTTATTAAGACAAGTTCTTGTGGTCCAGTATCTGGTCAAATCTGTAAATGTTGCAAATTTGAGAAGAATGTATATTTTCCAATTGTTCTGTATAAACCCATTAAGTCTAACCACCTCTAATGCTTTTCTAGGAGAACTTTTTTTTTCTATCCCTGAGTTCTAACTACATTCTCCCTTTTCTACCTTCTTTCTTACAAACAAATATTGAGTTTTCCATAATTGGGATCCCTCTCTCCATGGTGCAAAGTCACTATCTTGGGCTTCTGACCTGAAGTTTCAAAACAACAAGTAAGCCATTTCATAACTGATTAATGTTTGGCACATTATTTTAATCTCTCTCAGGCTCATCCTTATCATCTGTAAATGGAGATTGTAGGATTTACTGAGGATTAAAGTATGTGTAAAAATACTACTGTTTTCATTATTAATAAATAAATAACCCATATAGTACTGGCACATAGCAGGCAAGATAAATGGTAATTTTATAATGATTATCATTTTTACATTTCTTTACTGTCATGATTCCAATATCTACTTCTTCTCAGGCTGCAATTAACATACATTAAATTCCATTGGCTACAGTAACATTACACAGGCCTTCATATAGGACAAAAGGCATAATATATTCATTTGGGAAAAGAAGAAAAGCTACTACAAATACCACTGAATCACCATTTCAGATTCTTTTGCCATATGTTTTCAATATTTTTGCATCTTCATAGAATAACCCAATAAAGATAGTCATGGTCACTGAGATGGGTGACTATTAGAAGAAAAATGAACTCAGGGGTGCCTGGGTGGCTCAGCCAGTTAAGTGTCTGACTTCGGCTCAGGTCATGATCTCGTGGTTTGTGGTTTCAAGCTCCACATCAGGCTCTGTGCTGACAGCTCAGAGCCTGGAGCCTGCTTCAGATTCTGTGTCTTCGTCTCTCTCTGTTCCTCCTCTGCTCGTGCTCTGTCTCTTTCTGTCTCAAAAATAAATATACGTTAAAAAAAATTTTTTTAAAGAAAAAAAATGAATTCAATTTCAAGTCTCTGTCAGAAAGAAATAAAAAATAACATTTATTGAACATCTTCTGATGCAGGCACTGCACTAGGGACTTTCAGATATATCTCACGTAACCTCACAAAAACCTATTAAGATAGATACTACTATCCACTTTCTAAACAGAGAAATTGAGGAGTTCAGGAGATTACAGGGATTCGTCCAAGCTCCCATGGGGTGGAGATATATGCAGAGCAGGTATGTAACAACAGGTGTATATTAGTAGGTATAACACCCATCAAACCTGGGTGTCCTCCAAAGGCCCATCCAATACAAAAGAGAATCTTCTCTGGGTCTTTCTGCGTCTTTCTGTGACTCTTGTCTCTCTGCAATGTTTCCCATTCCCATTCAAGTCTCCCATATCCATTACCCACCCTATGGTATTACCCACAGGGACGGCTAAGGCAGCATCGGTCTCAGGCTGTGGTTGGATTCCAAAGATAATGAGAAAGAGTTAGAGACTGGTTACCTGCAGAGAATTTGCCATCTGCTCCACAAATCACAATGGCTTTTACTGTATGGTCTGTTATAGCTTTCTGCAGTCCCTCTTTTATTCCACGGAGTACAGATGTACTAAAAGAAAAAAAATTAGACGAGGCATTAGAATTAAATTTATACCATCTCAGACTTTTTTCCTTTCCTAACAATGAAAATTGAAACACACACGCAATGTATAAAAACCCTAGTTACTCACTATTCAGTTTTCACTAATTTGATCAACTAATAATAAACATGTCAACTGTGAATTAAGCACTGGACTAAATAAATGAATAAGCTTTTTCTTGTTTTTAAGTTTATTTATTTATTTGAGAGAGAGCAAGCGAGTCGGGGAGGGACAGAGAGAATCCTAAGCAGACTCTGTACTGTCAGTGCAGAGCCCAATGTAGGGCTCAAACTCATGAACCATGAGATCGTGACCTGTGCTGAATTCAGATGCTTAATTGACTGAGGTGCCCAGGTGCTCCAAATGCATTAAAAAATTTTTTTTTAAGTTTATTCATTTTTGGGACAGAGAGAGACAGAGCATGAATGGGGGAGGGTCAGAGAGAGGAAGAGACACAGAATCTGAAACAGGCTCCAGGCTCTGAACTATCAGCACAGAGCCCGACACGGGGCTCAAACTCACGGACCGCGAGATCATGACCTGAGCCAAAGTCAGATGCTCACCCAACTGAGCCACCCAGGCGCCCCTAAAATTTTAAAAAAATAGTATTTTCCTACAGTTTGCTGTAACTTTGGCCACTTAGAAGCAGCACTAATCAATTTAAAAATATTATTGTACATCTTCTATGTATACTGAAAGGAGCTTATAACATCCTAGGAAATGACAAAATGTCACACTAAGATGAGTGCTATAATGAAAATACAAATAAAGTGATGTGGACATTCACAGTGAGAAGAAATTACTTTCAATTTGTCATATTGGCAAAATATAAGAAAACTGAAATAGTCTAAAACAAACAACCCAAGAGATGTGTCAAGGGCTTCAAATTACCCCAAATATCCAACCTTCCCCACTTTCTTCAAAATATTAAGCATCTAGTTTTTAGCTGGATACATGACTGCCCAAAATAAAGGTTGCATTTTCCAGCTTGTGATGCAGTAAAGTCAGCCTAAGGCATTAAGTTGTGGTCAATAGGATGGAAGCAGATTTGGTATATCCAACTTTGGGAAGAGTTCTTAAAGGATTGGGTATGCTTTTCTCTTTTCCTTTTCTGGCAGGAATGGGGATGTGATGGCTAGATCATAGGCAGCCATCATGGACCAAGAGGTGGAAGACCTGAAATGAGGATGGCAGAGCAAAAGATAAATAGAATTGGGAACCCTGATGATTGTGGAACAATCACATCATTCTAAGACACTGCTATGAAAGAAATCAACCTTATTTTGTTTAATCCACTACTCTTTTGAGTTTTCTGTCACTGACAGCCAAAGCTAAAACTAATTTAGGAGGCAGAGGCAAGATCTGGGGAAAAAAAGGGCTTGCAGTAAATTTTGCTAAGTTTCAGTTGATGAGGGAGTCATCTATAAAAGAGAGCTATAGTCAAGATTGAATGAGTCAGCCAAAGGCAAAATGAGTTGAGTGTAAATCCTCTGGATGCACTCTCATTTAAGAAGTGGGAGAATTTTAAAGGGCAGTTGGGGAGAGAGGAGTCAATGTGGTGGAGAAGTAGGGGGACCCGAAGTTCCCTCAAACACAGCAGTATTGAGGTCAGCAGACATGGAATTCCAGGAATCCGGGCTACAGAGTGACAGAAACATCTCCAGGGGCCCACAGGGACAACATGGTGAGCCATAGGTGCGTGATTACGAACTGGTAGAGATAAAATGGGTGGTGTAGGCGCGGAGGGGAGGGATCCCCTTCTGTGGAGAAAAGGAAGAGAAAGAGAGGCTGTGGAAGTGTAGGATTGTATTTGGACAACTGAAAAACCACAGATGAGGGAACGGAAAAAATGGAGAAAGAACCAATTTCTAACCGTGGGGCTTTCTCTGCCCTGTTCCTGCACCTAGAGAGGAGGGGAGTCAGCCCCAGTCTAGGTAGCTAGCTCCCAACAGTGGGAGAGAGCAATCCTCTCCCTTGAATGCTGTGGGAAGAAGGCAAATAGCCATTCCAAGGACAAAAGACCCTGCAGGCGCCCACCAGCTAGAGGCCCTTTGTCGGCTGGGTGGGTGGTGACACTACCCCAGAACGGGGGCACCCAGTTCCTTTATGACATAAGGGTTTGAATCCCAGCCAAGCACCAGGGAGGCGCAGGAGACAGTGGAACGGGACATAGTGGCCCACTCACACCCACGTGGCACTGTGAGGAGGGCCTAAACAGAGTGGTTTGGGACACCCAGTCCAGGAAGGAGAGACTGGGGCGTCGCCATTTTTCTCTCCATCACCAACAAGGTGGGGTTTCAGGGATCAGGGCCACAGTGGAGGCGGGACCTGCCTACACCAAACCACGCCCCTCCATGCCTAGTAACTTGGCCGTCTAACAGAGCAAGATCGACACTGACCAACCAGACAGCCCCTCCAGACCAGGGCAGACACTAGTTCCAAGGCACTGTCAGATATTGGTCTCGGGGATTTACATTCTCTGATTTGATTCATGGTCAATTCTTATTTTCTGTGTATATGTAGATACATATTTTTTTCTTTTCTTCCTCTTATTTCTTCCCTTCTCTAGTTGGGTTATTCTGGCTGTTGGTTTGTTTAAACAGACATTTTTTTAAAATCTATTCTTTTAACACCTCTTCTGTATCTCCTTTTTTATTTTCCTCTCTCTCTCTGGACTAGCCATATAGTTTCTCTGATTGTCTTCCTGGGCAATTTTTTTTCTTTTACTTTTCCCCACCCTGTCATTTCTCTCCTTGTATAGGATAAGGCCTTTTTCACCACAACCCCCCCTTTTAAAATTTTTCTCCAGGGATACTTCAAGGAACAAATCATAGCACACGCGGTAGAAGTTCCAAACCACCACTATGAGTAGGGAGACAAAGCAACCAGAGTCTCAACAGAGAGCACAAAACACACTCCAAAAACACCTTCTGAACGGCCAGGCCCTGGACATAACAAGCTATTAAAACACATAAGGGACAGGGGCGCCTGGGTGGCGCAGTCGGTTAAGCGTCCGACTTCAGCCAGGTCACGATCGCGGTCCGTGAGTTCGAGCCCCGGCGTCAGGCTCTGGGCTGATGGCTCGGAGCCTGGAGCCTGTTTCTGATTCTGTGTCTCCCTCTCTCTCTGCCCCTCCCCCGTTCATGCTCTGTCTCTCTCTCTGTCCCAAAAATAAATTTAAAAAAAAACGTTGAAAAAAACACATAAGGGACAGAAAACTAGCCAATATGACGAAACGGAAGAATTCTCCGCAAAAGAAATTCCAGGAAGAAATGACAGCCAGAGAACTGCTCAAAACAGTTATAAACAATGTAACTGAGAAAGAATTTAGAATAACGGTCGTAAAATTAATAACTGGGATTGAAAAGAGCATAAAAGGGAGCAGAGAATCTATTGCTGCAGAGATCAAGGAGCTAAGAAATAGTCACAGTGAATTAAGAAATGCTATAAATGAGGTGCAAAATAAACTAGATGCAGTGACAGCAAGGATGGAGGCAGAGGGGAGATGAAGTGGAAAAGAAGATAAAATTATGGAAAATGATGAAGCTGACAAAAAGAGAGAGAAGAAAATATCCACATATATAACTTCAGAAGAAGACAGAAGAAAGGGCAGGAAAGTATCCCCAAGTAGAGAAAACTTGAGGAAGCTGAAATGAACCCCAGGCAGCAGGGCCTGCTGGAGGGCCTTGCAATGAGGGCAGCTAACACATGTTCCATGCCAGTTTATGACTTCCAGCATATGTAAACTTCACCACAACTTTATGAGGTAGATACAAATGTTTCTCTTACAAGAGGGGAAGGGTCAGGCTAACGACTAGAAACGTTTAAAATAGCTATGAGAAAATATTTCCAGTTATGGGTGTTAGACTGTGAAACGTTTCCCCCAAGTTCTTGATGGGCATGGTTTCCTCTTATGAGCAGAGGCTGAGGCAGAGTCCTAATATTTAGTAATTCTAACTAAAATACAGACAAGTCCAAAATGGATATGTAATTATATTATGTTTTGCTTCATCAAAACCAAAATAAGTTATTTTGCTTTTTTTTCTGAGAATGACAAGAAAGTGGACATATCATCCTTGTATGATTTTCATTGCTGCACTTTTTTTTGCATGACTAAATGCAATAACTCATCTGAAAAATAAAAATTATTATATTAATATGGTAAAATCAAATCTGAGGACACTAAGATAAAAATTCAGGTAAAATTAGCAGGTCTCCTCAATCCAGTCTCTCTTTTTTGTTCCAGCGGTATGTGCTAAGAATGTTGACCAAAGGTCTTTCACCCTGTTTTATATATTCATTATAAATTTTAATTTTGGCTAATCCTACTCTCCGAGGATGGATGGCTCTATCCTGGGCTGATGGATCATTATCCTTTTTCCAAAGATATGGAAGACCAAACCTATCTAATAACCTCATTAATTAAAACAAAAACAAAAACAACTAGCATTAATCTCGGTTTTGAAAGCAATGCCGTAAGCGCATTGCACACGTAGGTGGGAGAATTTAAAATAGGCAAAGGTGGGGCGCCTGGGTGGCCCAGTCGGTTAAGCGTCCAACTTCAGCTCAGGTCATGATCTTGCGGTTCATGAGTTCAAGCCCCGCGTCAGGCATCTGTGCTGATGGCTCAGAGCCTGGAGCCTGTTTCAGATTCTGTGTCTCCCTCTCTCTCTGACCCTCCCCCGTTCATACTCTCTCTGTGTCTCAAAAATAAATAAACCTTTAAAAAAATGTTTTTTAAAGAAAAAAAAAATAATAAAAGGGGCGAAGGTGCTCCATGATGAAACCAAAGAAGATAAACTGCACAGTCTACTCCATAGGCTACTTACTAGGCTTACTCCAAATGGATCCTCCACTACAGCACTAAAGCCTTTAAGTTTAGAGCAAATCAGGAGAAAGAACTTTGCATTTCTGTCCAGGCCACAATTCACCTTTACTCACTGCCTTGGCATTAATAGGAAACTTTATCATCAGATTTCTAAATCTTATGAGTTACACTTTATTAGGGCAGCCTATATTCGAGATTGGGAAGTAAGAGGTCAAGGTCTAGCGGGCATTGTGCCTTTAGAACAGAATGTACACATGAGAAGTCAAAGCTGCCAGCAAGTAGAAGAGCAGGAAACTGGCACGTATGGCCCGTGTTGGAGTCCAGCTCGCCCACTTAGAGGCCATCTGTCTGCCTCTGAGCCTCAGTTTCCTCACCAGTGAAACACCGGTAGGAGTTCGCTGCGAACGTTAACCAAGCTAACCTATGCACAAGGCCCTGGCATTCGCCGCGGTTGTCTGTGTCGGTGTCTCTCTGCTTTTAATCCAGCAGGGGAAAGTCAAAGCCTCGGAGCAGGCAGGCGGCGAAGGGCCCTCCGTGCCCGGGCTGGAGGCAACCCAGCCCGTTACCTGATGGCGTTGACCGGCGGGTTTCGAAGGCGGATCAGCGCCAGCCAGTTCCGCGGCCGCGTGTACTCGGCCATGTCTGCTCGGTGGCGGAGGTCGCTTGCGCCTCTCACCACTGGGCACTGCCGCTTTTCCAGCCGTCGCGGAGCCGGCCCCGCGAGGAGGGGCGCCCGCTGGGCCAATGAGAGCCCGAGCCCGGCGCCACCTCCCGCTGCGCATCCTCCCACCCGCTCCTCCTCCTCCCGGGACCCCAGTCCCGCGCTCTGCAGACACTTGTGCTCTCTTTCTCCGGAGTGGTTCCCATCACAACCTAGGTCAGAGAGGACGGTGGAAAATGGGTGCAGTTGCCAGCAAGTCGGAGTTTACAACACCCTGGCCCAAAGAGGCTGCCTTCTCTGGAAAACTTCAGGGTTCACTAAGTTGGTAGAGCTGTCCTCATCAGTTTTCATCTTCATGATCCTTCTTAACAGGAATAGATACCTGGGGTCTTGACAATTAGGTGACATGACACAACCACTTGGCACATAAAATACACGCACTGTGCGTTTCACCTAAATCTGTATGGTACCAACCGCGGACATAACCATTAATGTTACCTGTCTTACTGTAACGGGGCAACCTAGTGAAATGCATGGGTATCTTGTCTGATAACCAAACCTTCTCTTTTTTTCTTTTTTTTTTTTTAAATTTTTTTTTTCAACGTTTATTTATTTTTGGGACAGAGAGAGACAGAGCATGAACGGGGGAGGGGCAGAGAGAGAGGGAGACACAGAATCGGAAACAGGCTCCAGGCTCTGAGCCATCTTTTTTTCTTTTTAGAACGTTTCCCCCAGTTTTATTGAGATATACTTGACTACTTCACTATGTAAGTTAAAGGTGTACAGCCTAATGATTTGACTCACATAGCTCATGAAATGATTGCCACAGTAAGTTTAGTTAACATCTAATCTCATATAGATACAAAAATAGACAAAAGAAAAAAAAAACCTCTCTTTCCTTTTTCTGTTATTTCTAAGGAATGTGATTTCTAGTACTTCATTCATTGTGAATTGCACACCTGTTATATGCTAGGACTAGGCAGAAGATTAAAGGCAAATGAGGCCCAGCCCCTTCCCTCCAAAAGTTCACCACTGAAACAAGGTTTTTCTAGATTCCATTGGCCTCTGGTGGTCTCCACAGTCCATCAAGTGGTCAGAAAGCAGTCTGGAAGTTTCAGAGGAAAAGAACACAATGGAATATCTTTGTTCACTGGGACTATTTTCATATTCTTTTGCCTCTTGGAAATAAAAACAGGTTCCAACTCCTAGGAAAGTAGGATTGCCTTGAAGCCCTGGAAACAGGCAGCAGTCTGAAGGTATCCACCCATCAAGGACAGCATAGTAAGGACAGCCTTCCCTTCCAATAGCCGGCCATTTACAAACAAATGCCTCTGTCAGCCTTCAACAACAATCAGCTCCTACAGGTGATATCACTCTCTAATGCCCCCTAAAATTTGCCAGTCCCTGAATTCCACCTTGCTCAAAAATGATGTAAGATCAACAGTCTGCTCTGCTTGGAGAAACTGTGCATGAGGAGCATAGCTTTCCCTTATTATAAGAAGCAATAAATTCAGCTTTGTCTTCTCAATTCTGATATTGGCCTCTGGGGGAACAGCTCGGCAGAGGCATCCTAGCAATTTGGAATGCCTCCACAAAGGCTGTTGTAGGCAAGACTTAACAGTTCTGAATGGCCTGAAATTCTTCCTGGATCAAGGGGAGAGGAGCATGGTGTGGAGCTGTTTTGAGGCAGGTTCTCATCTCTATCTTGGAGGTGTTAGCTATAGGTCATTTCTCGTCTATTTCCCTGGTTTTGGTTGAATGCCAAACTTTCTGCCTGTGCTCCCCAGCCCCTTTGGTATGGCTACAAACTTCTTTGTAAATCTACTGAACTGCTTAATAATAGTTTAGAGTAGGCTCCTCAACAGGGCAGGGACCAAGGTAAGCCAGTGACACACCCACTGGGCAAAATTTAAGAGGGCACTCACTGTCAGTGTCCTACAAGTGCCTACCCTGCCCCGCTCCTCCACAGCAGTTCCTGGGATCTGTCGTCTAGCCCCTCCTATTTGGTGTCATCCTGTGGAATTAGGGATGCAGGGAACTGATACCATGCTGATCTTTCTCTTACTATCTGTGTAAATAATAAATTGTCTAAATCTATTTGGTCTCCTTATAGACCAAATCTATGGGAATGTGGCAAGCCAGCAAGTGCCACCATGCTGCTGCTGACAGACTGTGTGACCGTTTGACAGTCTCTTGATCATTGCGATGAATTGTTATATTCTGAAGTTGCCTTTTCATTTAATTTGTCTCACTAAGTGCTACATAATAGCACGTCATTCCTCTTGGCTAAGGCACTTCCTTCATTTTGCCTGTGCTTTGCTTATTATGTCATTTTCATTGTTGTGTTGCAACTTAGGAAAATAGATCGGTTAATCAGAAGAGGTTTTGTGTGTGTGTGATCGAGTGTTGCATGCTCTACTGGCTGAGCGGAAGAGGTTTTTAAGAAAAACAAAAGAATGTAAATGTAGAAGTTCATGTGCTAGATCACGCCTATGTGTACTCACAGTAGGAACAGAGATGACTGTGTAAACTTGGTGTTGTGCTGTGAAACTTTATTCAATAGTGCCATGAAGCCAGAGCATTCTCCGGAGAGCTAATCAGATTTTTCTGTCACAACAGAAAATATTGCTTTCCAGCTGCAGTCATACAATCTTTCACATGTTCTCTTCCAAGTCTTTTCCCCTTTCACTGTGGGATATAAATGGGCACTAGGCCTCAGAGAAGGATAGAGCCATAGACAGAAGAAGCCTGACTTTCCAAATGATTTTGTGGAGGAGAGCTGCCTGCTGACTAGAACCAGCATGAGAAGGAAGTGTGGGTCCGTTTGTTAAAGAATTCTAACCTGTCCTAACTAATACAGAGAAGAAACGGGCGGTGAGTATACTCTTCCACAGTGAAGTTGGCTGACAGTTGAGGAGAAAAGCTGCTCACATGAGTACTTGAAATAAGAGATGGGATATAAATAGTTTCTTCATGGTATCAATAATATTAGTAATGACAATTTCTATAATTTCAAGTGGCTTGCTCAAGTTTTGAGCCTTGGAGATATAACACACACACACACACACACACACACACACACACTCAAGATTCCTAAGGAAGTCCTAACTGCGGCAGAAAAAAAAAAAAAAAAAAAAGACTCAGTCTTGTCAATTATCTTGACTGGTTGAAATCCCAAAGATCAATGATGTATTATTGTGCAGATTTAAAGCTCTTGCACATACACTGCAACCAAATCTGAACTGAATGTAGCCAAAAACTGAACTGAGAATCTATTCACTGCTGTCTCGCACATTTCAATCTCTCAGCTTTTTGGTGAGGGCTGCTTATAGGCTCTGCATCAACTCGACTAAGTCTATATTTCCCCAAACTTGTGTTTACTTTTTAAATTGAGATATAACTCACACACACACACACACACACACACACACACTATCCTTTTAAATTGAGATATAATTGTACACACTAAGTGTACAATTCAGTGATTTTTCGTATATTCACAAGGTGGACACCATCACCACTCCCAAATTCCAGGACATTGTAATCACCCCCAAATGAACCCTGTATCCATTAAGCACATTTGCCTACTCCACATATTTCATATAAATGGAATCCCACAATATATGGCCTCTATGCCTGGTTTCTTTCATTATAGCATAATGTTTTCATTTGTTTCAGGGAAGGGTTGGTTCCAGGCCTCTCTCCTAGCTTTTGGTAGTTCCCTGGCTTTGTGACAACATAACTGCAACCTTCAGTGGTGTTTTCTCTGTGTGGGTGTATCTCTGAGTCCAAATTTCCCCTTTTTATAAGGATATTAAATGACCCCATCTTAATTTGATCATCCACAAAGACCCTATTTCCAAATCAGGTCATATTCACAGGTTTTGCTCATTAGGATGTCACATCTTTTTTATTTTTTTTAACTTTATTTCTTTATTTTGAGAAAGAGAGAGAGCGAGCACAAGAGTGTGCGAGTGTGCAAGAGTCTGCACTGCCAGCACAGAGCCCAACATGGGTATCACACCCACAAACCATGAGATCGTGACCTAGGCCAAAACCAAGAGTCTGATGATCACCCAGGCGTCTCATGGATTTTACAGCTTTTTGAGGAACACAGTTCAACCCATAACAGCCCCATGCAGTCACTGCAGTAGACGCCCTTTTATGGGGCAGAGCAACAAAAGTCAGCCTGAGTACCACAGGCAGCCAGGCAATCTTGGTATTTGAAGCCACAGAAATGGCAATGACTTCCACTCTTCTGAATCATAATTCATAGTTTACGTTAGGTCACATTTGATTCTTTTTTTCCTAAAAAGTAAGCAAAACTGTCCAGAATGGAGAAATGTTAATGCTTAAAAAAACACACACACACACACAAGCCAGCTTTTCCATATGAATCACCATGAGAAGAAAGATTTGGGCATTAACAGCTACACCTAAAGGTTACTGGATATTTTATAAATTAAAATAAACAGAAAAGATGCAGCCTCCACCTGACATTATTTTTCTGGGGGAGGGTGGACAAAGCCCTTTAAGTTGATAGGATGCACACCAAAGTAATAAAGGACATTTTGAAAAATGAGCTTTTGATGTTTCATAAGAAAAGGCTTAACACTTAAAATTGTGCAAGTTTTCTCCTTTGAAATAGGCAGGTAGAGAAGTTTTTTTTTTCTCCTTTAGATGTTCTATAGAACATTGTCTTCAATTCTAACACCATATTGTGATTCAAGTGGTTTCTCCAGCTAAGTACATTTAGGATAATAAACACAATAATACAAAATAAAATAACTAATATTTCATTCTGTCCATGTGTCATGCTTTGCCCTAAATGCTTTGCATGTATTAATACACTTAGTCCTCACCACAACCCTATGGATAAGGCATCATTGTTAATCACCATTTTATAGAAGAGGCACAGAGAGCTATCTTGCCTAAGGCCACTTTGCTACTAAGAAGTGGAATGGAAGCGTGGACCCAGA